AGGGAGGGTGATATATCCAGTTTTCCGCGACAGGACTGACCTGCCGCGGTCTCAGGCGAGGGTATTTCTGTAGTTTGTGCTCCCAAATACTGGTGCTCTCTCCATCTCACTGGGCTTGGGGTGGTTTTTGTCTTTGACTTCTCTTCTGCCTTTGGCGTTTTGGTGATGATTAGGAAGGATAAACGTGTAAGTGACGGCTTTGGATTTTGTGATAGTGAAATGGAAAAAAACCCCTGATACGGACATTTCGTGTGTCAGGTCACAGGATTTTGCACATCGGGTTCTGGAATTCCCCAAGACCTGGGCTATAAGTGCCCATCGCAGAAAAACCAAGAATCAGTGACCTCGAGAAACTCCTGTATTCCCTTTGTCTTCCTGAGTCGGTCCTCATGTCCCCGCAATATTGCTGAGCTTTCTGAAGGCCAAAAATACCCCCTGTTATTCATGTAACAAAGTTCAGCCAAGCAGCCTCTGCTTGAGCAGGCACAGCTCAGGAGGGATGCTGACGAGGTTCGATGCTCTGAATTCCTGATATGGAGCTTGGTGCTGTATCCAATTTAGCTTAGATCTGAGATCCTCAGTTACTTCCCTGGTGGATTCATTGCCCTGACGGGGAATGGAAATGAGAGGAGCGTAGCAACAGCGTCTGGCAAGTGCAAATCTCCTATTTCATATAATTGTGATGAAGAAGGAGTCCTTGTGCTTGCTCTAGTGTGGAGTGAAGTGATATTTTAACCGTCTCTTACTGTTTGAGTAAAAATGCCAAATAACATTTTCAATTATTTCAGTAGGATTTTGTTATTTGAGAGAGCTTAAATAGGGTGCAGATGGATATATTTTTTTAAGTGCTTTTAGCTTTCTAAATAAAGTAGATCTGAAATACCAGAAGTAGACACCATGGGTTCTGGAGCAATGTCAACAAGTATTGTTGTACTATAAACAGCAGAGATCTCTGTCTTGGCAGCTGCTGGGACTAGCAATAGCTGTCTTGTGTTTGTGGCCGGTCCTGACAACTGACTAAAATCAGGCATTTGAGTCCTGTCTTGCTTCAAATAGTTCCTTACTTGATGAGCTGAACTGTTTAAAACAAACAAAAAAAAAATCTTTGGGCTTTTGGAAGATATAAATGTTGGAAATCATCTGGTAGCTGATCCCCTGAGATATTCCAGTGTCAGCTCAGAAATAAACTGTGGTATGTTCTTAATTTAGTTGTCCCATCTTTATTCCTTTTGCCTGTAGAAACAGGAAGTGGCTGATGCAAATTTCACGTTGCTGACAGCAGTTTGTCGGGCTTCACAAAAGCTGAATCTGAACAGAGGCGTAGGTTTGACTTGCTTTGGCTATAAAACTAACATTTGTGTCTTCCAGAATGTCTAAGTGAGGACTCAGGTTGGTGCGCTATCTCAGGCAGCCGGAAGAATTTCATTTATGCCATTTTCATGAGAACTTGCTCACTCCTCTGAGGACCGGCCTTTGGCTGGGACATGCCGACTCCTTGATATTCTCCAAACAGGAAACTCCTCTTACTGTGGTGTTGTACAGGATCGGCTTCGGGATAGCTCATGTTTTTACAAATAAAATCCCTTCCCTTTATTGCTCTGCTCAGTATATCAAAACAGTCTAGCTGTAGATGAAAGCCTGTTTGCTGTACAGTGTGTTCAAAACCATGTTCCCAAGTTTTGATGGAAATGAAGGCTAGTTAATAGATTAACCAAATGTGCTATGAAAATAAATGGACTTTCTGGCCCAGGGTGAAATGTGTGTTTGCTGCGAGTCCATAGCTTCCGCTTCATTGGTAATCAAAGTTCAATTGAATTTAAATAAGACCTAGATTTAAATCCTGCATTATAGTCCCAAAAGGGAGAGCATCATCTCAACTCCACTTCTGTCAGCTGGAGAACTCTAACCCCAGGCTGCACGGCGTAGCTTGAAAGCCTTTCTCATTCCTCCTGAGCACGGGACGATGCACTGAACAAAAATGATCTGTATGTCTCAGCTTCCTCTTTAAAGAAGGCAAATGAGATCCCATTTTATTACTGAGATCTGTGAAGTCAGTTTGTCGCTTACTGACAAATTATTCTGCATTCAGAGTCATCAATAGACAAAACACTGTTTAGATGTAGCCCAAGCAGGTCTGCTTTGTGATCTTTTTTTTTTTTCCCCCCCTCGCTAAACATTAATCTCTCTGGGTTGCAGACTCTGGCTGTTGATGTTAGTTAGGTTCTGGTCTGTACAACTAAATATTTTCTTTCATTCCGGATGGTACGTAGATAGCAGGAAAGCTGCATCCACAGGGCAAAGAGGATCATAAGGGTGAGTCAAGATAGCTTTAGCGAGGAGTGACTGAGCCATAGCTGCCTCCTTTAGGACTTTGTGCTGCCTGCACTTAGTTCTGATTTTGCTGCCAATTTACCAAGTGACTTATCTTGTGAGTTGTCCTAATGCTGCCCATTAAACAGAAATTAAAATGAGTTCACCATCTGCCAGAGCGCGCTAGGTTTACAAAGCTGGTATCAAGCACTGTGAGTTTATGGCTTCTGTCAGGGAAACCCAGGAAGGACCTGTCAAATGGCAAGGAGACTGGAAGGAATCTGAATCTCAAGGAATGCTGTCTCATGAAGGGACATTAATCGCGACAGCATATCTAGAATTGATGAGATATGCTCCTCGTGACAGCATGTTTTAATGCTGGGGGTCGGAAGCAGCTTTCCATCTGGACTTTCTGGTTTGTAATCCTGATTTGAAATGCAGTTTGCGACTAGGTAATGGGGCTGATCAGATTAGAGCCTCGCGTGGAACGTGGTGGGGATCAGTGGTGCAGAACAGCAGCTTTGTCTGCCCAGCGCTCTGTAAACCTGGTGTCCTTCCTGAAACCCCTGCGTTACACCCCTCTATCTTGCTGCACTCTCAAAGCACAGGAGAATTTCCTTAACAGGTGGCTCTTTTGGGGGAAAAAAACCACCCTTCTTTTAGTGTGCTGAGAGCGGGGGAGGCAGAGCCCTGCTCTTGGCTGCGCTCCCACTTGAAGACGTGAGCCCCATTCTGGATGCATCGTCCTCGGCTGCAGCAGAGCGTTGACGATCCTGTGGTCAGGATTTCTACATTGTACAGAATAGGAAAAAAAAAGAGGTATTCATTACTGTTGATTATATGGGTGACCGCCCACAAGTTTCAGCCTCTCTGAACTTTTTTGTATCTGGAAGCCATCCAGTTACTGCTGTCCGGTTTTACACACAATATATCCTCTGGCTCACTCTTGCACAGAGGAGGAAACCGCTCTCTTCCTCTTGGAAGGGGGGTGGCCTCTTCCCTGCCCCCCACATCAGTGCTGTTTCTCCTGATGCAAGCAGGCAAAAGAGGGGTGGAAAATGGCCTTGTTTGTCCTGTGACATCAGTGCTGCTCATGACTAATGCTGGATCTGCCCCACATCCTCTGGAAACTGGGTGAAAACATGCACTTTGGAGCAGGGCTGAGAAGGCTTGCGAGCAAAAGCAAAACCCTAGTTAGAACCTCAGGTTTCGTTTCTAATCTAGAGATCTAATATCAGTTTGTCGAGGCAGCTGGGTAAACCCTGCCTTCCTTTTTGGGTATGCTGGGGAATGTGCCGGGAAGGACGTTCTCCTTCAGGCAGGGTTTTGAGCTCTTGCAGGCTATGGCAATAAGAATGAAGCTGTGTCAAGGCTGTAATCGTGATTCACATTGTAAAATCTTTCGGTGAGTGGTGATAAGATAAAAATGCAATTGGTGACTTGCTACTCCCTCCCTGCATTCCCTGTGCATTAGTGTGCTTGGAGCGTGACTTGACTTGTTCCTTGGTGCAGAGTCTCTGCAAAGCAGTAATTAATGGAAAGTTTATATGACACTTAAGACTTTTCCAGATGAGACTCTTCAAATGACTTATGTGCCTAAATCACTTTCCTGTGCAGTGCTTGCAGAGTAGATTCTGCAGTTCAGATACCAAAGCCTGTAGAGAGAGAGTATGAACAGGGGTGCATTGTTGTAGAAGCAGCTATGCCTTCTTAGCTTGTGCAGCTGCTCGACTTAGCAGTGCCAGGGTGGCTCGTTTTGCACGCTGATGCTCTGTACTGTAGCAAAGCTGGAGTTATAGACGTTCCTTGGAGGAATTCAGGACTCCGGGAGGTCCCTGCGGATGCATTTGCAGAATCAAACCCGCTAGTTGTAACCTGAGGTGCATGAACTCCCAGTGAAGCACTCATACTTTATTTGCTATGTGGTCATAGTTGGGACTTTGGCGAAGAACTGACTGCAGTGAGATTCTGTGCAGACCTTTGTTTTATTGAGTGGTGTCAATACAAGGTTAGAAGATGTAAGTTTTAGTATCCTTATACGTGTAGAAGTCCTTACAATGGAATAAGACTATGTGGCCATTAAGGAGTGACTGTGGCAATAGAGAGTGGCTGTGTGCATGGCTGTTGCGTAATCCGAATGTCCCTGCTAATGTGAGGGTACCCTGCTGCCCAGCATCAGGGTGCAGAGCTAGGTAGAAATTACTCTTCTGGAACTGGTAGAGCTCGTACCAGACAGCTGATAAACCCTCTTCAATATTTGGTGTACAAGTTTCATACTGTCAGAGGATGCGAATAATTGTATTCTATGTGTGCAGGTTGTGGACAGCGGTAGATATGGAAAGATTGGTTGAGCGGTTGGAGAAGGCTGTGGAGCGCCTGGAGACGGTGTGCCAAGGACCTGGCATGTGTGGAGATGGCCCTTCCAAAGGTAAGGCCCAAAGCACCTCCCCAGCAGCGTCGCCCCACAGGAGTCCCTGTACTGAAGCTCCAGCCGAGTGGTGCGGCAGTGTCAGAAATCAGCGGTACTGTTGCAGAGCGGGCACGGCGTGCCAGTTAGATGAACTGGCTGTGCGCAGAGGGGATGTGAGTTTCGCAGCAGATACTGCGCAAATGCAGAGAGGCCTGTGGTTACCGTCCTGCTAAGATAAGGACTTCCTGTGGCTGCAGCACTTCCCTCGTCTGCGTTCAGCTGCGTGCTTCAGGCTGAGCCTCCTGCGTTTGGTCGACATGACCCAGGGGGAAGGTTCAGTGTGGAGAGGGTGGGAGGTGCAGCCCAGGAGCACAGTGCGTGTGTCTGAGTGCTCCCTGTTCAGGAGCCCACCCGGTGCATCTCGGTGATACCTGTGCTCTGGTTCCTTCTCTGCAGGAGTGGCTCAGTACGTGCAGGCTTTTGATGCCCTTCTGGCTGGCCCAGTAGCTGAGTACATCAAGATCAGCAAAGAAGTTGGCGGGGATGTGCAGAAACATGTAAGGACTCTCATTCTCCCTCCACTCTAAATAGATGCTGCTTGTTCTTCAGGGCTCTTAAGGGCCAAGTTCGCTGTCAGTGTTTGCATTCCTTTAGCGCTGTATTCTAGGATGTCCTTTAGCGCTGTATTCTAGGATGTTTATAATCCTCAAGGATTTGAAACAGATGCAGATGCCCAGATAACCTCCAGCAGGTTGCCACCTACACACACTATGAATCAAACCTCCTTCTTGAAATCGTTGTTGGTTAGGTGCCTAGCTCTCTTTACAGACTTCGGCGCGTGCCTTCAGGAGGCCTGTAAACTATGCAGCCCAAGAGCTGTTACAGTCTTATAAGTTTTCTCTGAGGATGGGTGTCTCCAAGAATATGTGCTTTGAGATCAGCATAGCTGCTTTCTTACAGACTAGGAACTGCAAGCAGCAGGAGCTTGAATGACTATTAGCATTACGCTGGGTACAAGGGAAGCTCTCTCATGTTTCTCTCTATTCTTAGGCTGAGATGGTTCATGTGGGCTTGATGAGTGAGAGGGCTCTTCTGGTGATGGCATCTCAACATCAGCAGCCAACAGAGGTAAGTCTGGGAAATCACTCATCAGAAACCTTGTATGCCCTCACCTCAGAGTTGGGGATGACTGCCACCGTAGGGGAATCTGGGCCGTTACAGTTGCTCCAAAAGAGGAACCGGAGGAGGACTGGAGACACTTGCATCCATGAGGTGGCACTTGCTGAAAGCGTGAACTGTTCTGGGTGCTCACCCAATACTGGGCAGAATTCCGGAGGGTTCTTAGAGCTGTGGAACTGGCATTTTCCAGTCATTAGAGCAAGAAGTTTTCTGTAGCTGTCAGAGCAGCTTGTGAGTGTCATCTCACAGCGTCTGTCTCGAGTTTCACCTGGCACCAATACTGCACAATCACTGTACCCTGAGATGCAACGTGCAGTCAGGAACTTGTCTGAGACAGGAGCCACAGTGGGATTTGCGTAGAGCGTGCTTTTCATTATGTGATGCTTATAGACTTTCAGGCATTAAACTCCTCTGAAGTATAACAGACACTTGTCTCTCTTGAATGGTCTCTGAATAATAGCTAGGCTTTTAGGATTGATTTGTTCTTAGCAAGTAATTTAACACTTTACCCTAGGCTGCTGCTTCTCAGCAGGATGTGTGACTGAGAATCTGATCCTGAATGCATTGGCTTTTCCCTGCTGAGAACTGTTTTTCCTGAGCAACAGGATCCCACCTTGCCTTTCTTTGCAGTTATTATCTGGCTCAGTCATGGCTTCTACTGTTACATTGTGGTAGCTGCATTTCCGTGCTGCTTTCCTATTCACTGCAAAATATATTTGCATCTTTTTCCCCAAACTCAGCATTGGAGGGTTATCTTTACCAGGCTTGCTGGGACACTGCTCTGCGTAGCCTCTAGTCTGAGAATCTGCTGACAAATTCCACTGACACATTATTTAAATAGAGGATTATGAACAAACAACAACCTTAATCTAGCGTAGGTCTTTGTGCAGATTGTCCTGCAGGAGTGTAGTCAAGCCTGGAGTAGCCTGTTTAAAATGCAAAATGTATGAACTCTCATTGCTTGTGGGAAGAAATTTCCCCATCCTGTTACTTGACAGTGGCGCTAGGCTGGAGCTTCTGAAAGTGTTGCCTGGCCAGTGTTCCTTGGAACCTCTCTATTTTCATCTAAACAGAGGAAGGGACAGCAAACGGAAAAGCCGAGGCTTTGAAAAGCAAGTTTTGCCCAAATTTGTCCCTCACTGCTGCCACCAGGAGGAGAATTTCTGATCTTAGAGGAAGGAAGAGTTGCCCAAGAGGCATCTCTGGAAATGTGTACTTGGCTGCTCTGCTCTGACCTCAGAAGACTTCTAAGCAATTTCAGTCAGCATTCCAAGTGAACAACACACAGAAACAATTTTTATCATCCAAATATTAAAGGCTTGGATTGACTTGAGAAGTAACTTGAATCCTGAAGTCCAGCTTGATAGGGTGAGTTGAGAGTTTGCTGCGACTCCGATTGTAATGCAGGCTGTAGATCCCAAACTGCAAAAACCTGCATGGCACCCCCTTTCTCTGAGGGTTTGTAAAGGAGAGGAAAAATCTGACAAACTGTCTTGGAACAAAAGAATCCAGGAAAGGCAAATGCTATTTCTGTCCTCGTTACTAACAAGCTTTGTCAGTGTCTCTTGGATTGAACATGAGTCACAGTTCTTGGCGTACTCCCATAGTACCAATCTGGTTGGGAGCTGTGACTTCAGCCCTGGAGGAGCTAGGCTGTGGGACCGAGCTCGGCTCGCAGGGAGGGCCAAGCCTGGACAGGAGCTGTAGCAGTAACTTGTGCCAGTTGGAATCTTCCTCCGAGTGACCATCATCTCAGCAGAGCCGCCAATGACAATGTGCAGACATTCCAGAGCAATACTAATGTTCTTAATTGTTACTGTCCCTCTTGTCCTACAGAATGCATTTTCATCGCTTCTGAAACCAATTTCAGAGCAAATCCAGACGGTGCAGAATTTCAGGGAGAAGAACCGTGGTAGCAAACTGTTCAATCACTTATCAGCAGTCAGCGAGAGCATCCCAGCCCTGGGCTGGGTGGCCATGGTAAGAACTCCAGTGGAAAGTGGTTTCCTTGGGCTGGTGGGAAAAGTCTGGCTCCCTGGTCGTTTGTTCCATGCCAATGTGTTCTTTCTTCTTTAGGCTCCAAAGCCTGGTCCTTATGTGAAGGAAATGACTGATGCTGCCATGTTTTATACCAACCGGATCCTCAAGGAGTACAAGGATGTGTAAGTTCACCTTCACTCTTAAAGATGTCATTGAACACAGCTAACTGGGTGTGTAGGGGCTACTCCAGCATCTAACCACAGCTGCCTTGGTCTTTAATTCATTCCTCTTTTTAAAGGCAGGGTATATTTATAAAGCCTCACTTAGCTGTTCTTTCTTGATCCTTAGGGACAAGATTCCTTGCATTCATGTTGCAGCTGGAATCTCTGGTAGCAAGTGTATTGCTGCTTGTCTCAGCATCATCTGGTGGTTAAACTGTTTCCCAGGGCAGCAAGTTGTATCTCGGGAATGGGTCTTGTTGGAAGTACTAGACTCCTGAATTGAAATGGGTTATAGTGCAGAGCAGGCCTGTGGCCTTCTGCCTGCAGGTGCAAGATTAATACTGAAGCTAGAACGCAGTGCTGGAGGTGTGAGGCTGCTGTGTTGGTCCAGCTGCATCCTGCCTGTAGGCTGAGAGGTGGAGAGATGCAAAGAACTGTTTGTAGTCCTTGGGTTTTAATGGCAAACGCACCTGCTCACTCCTTGTGATCTTCTTGTGTCCTCAGAGATAAAAAGCAAGTGGACTGGGTGAAAGCTTATCTGAGTATCTGGACAGAACTGCAGGCCTATATCAAAGAGTATCACACCACAGGGCTGACTTGGAGCAAAACAGTAAGTGCTGGCTACATCTGCAGGAGGTTCTTAGATGAGTATTGCATGATTATTGCAGCAGATACGGAGCTTGTGCAATTGCCTTTCCTCTTGCTGGCCTCTTACAGGGTCCCATAGCAACAGAAGGGGCTAACTCTCCATCCGCTCCCCCAGCTGGGGCTGCGCCTCCCCCACCAGGCCCTCCTCCCCCACCTGCTCCTGCCCCCACAAGCTCCAGCACAGATGATTCTGCCTCCCGCTCCGCGCTCTTCGCCCAGATCAATCGGGGAGAAGGCATCACCTCTGGTAGGTGGAAATACCTAGCGGAGGGGGGGCAGCTGCGAGCGAGAGTACTGTTGTGTTGTGAATCCTTGTTTTGCTGCTGTCCTTCAATACACCGGCTTAGAAAGTATGCTTCCAGTAACAAAAGACCATCTGGTCTGAGTATGAGGCTGGGAGCCAAAAGCAGCCCTGAGGCAGTTCATGGGGACAAAGGGAGCACATCTGAGTTCAAATTCTCGAATCTGTCAAGTGTAGCAATTCTAGCTGGAATGGAGAGAGTGAGCCCTTTGGTTGCCTGCACGTCTCCAGTACAACAGGTACAATTTTGCACCTATTCATATTCGCACAGAACTTACCCCTTTTTTGTGTTACCTGGTTAGCGTATCAGGACCCACATGAAACAAAGGCGAGGTGCTTGGCTCAAGGCTTTTTTCCAGCTGTGGAGTGGAAGAGCTGGTGCCTTCTGGTTCTACAGTACATTTTGTGTTCTCGTCAATATTGCATCAGTGTTTCTTGCTCCCTCTTTCACTTGCTGTCATTCATGCTTGCACTCAACTTAGGCCCAGTCTCAATAATTTATTTGCATTTTGAAAAATGGTATCATGATGATTGTTGTAATCACCGATGTCTGGTGTTTGTGAAACTGCATTCTCGGAGGAGAGCTGGATCTCAGGTTTGACTTCTCTTGCAGGCTTAAGGCATGTTTCAGACGACATGAAGACCCACAAGAATCCAGCACTGAAGAACCAAGGGGGTCCTGTTAGAAGTGGACCCAAACCTTTCACTGCTCCCAAACCAGCCTGTAATGCTAATCCCTCCCAAAAAACCTCTCCAAAGGCACCTGCGTTGCTAGAATTAGAGGGCAAAAAGTGGAGAGTGGTGAGTGCCTGTGTCGTCGGTGGGTTGGAGGGATGGGAGCTTTGCAAGGAAGGAGGGTCTCCTGAAGACCTTTCTTGTAAGAGGCACCAGCCTGAAGGTATATGCAGTTTGCTTTTAAAGGGCTGCACTGCCCTGCTGTTCACATGGATTAATTGGTCTGCCTTCCAAAAATAAAGTGTGTTTTCCCTGCCTTTTCAGGAAAACCAGGAGAATGCCACTAACCTGGTAATCAGTGACACAGAGTTGAAGCAGGTAGCATATGTTTTCAAGTGCACAAATAGTACACTCCAAATCAAAGGCAAGATCAACTCCATCACCCTCGGTAAGTGAAGAAACCCTGAAAAACTGCTTCTGCGTCCTGGTCTGTTTGCAGAAGGCTGAATCTCCAAAACCTTTCTGAGAGCTCCTCTGTCTTTTCTTTGCAGATAACTGTAAGAAGCTAGGGCTGGTGTTCGATGATGTGGTGGGCATCGTAGAGATCATAAACAGCAGGGACGTTAAAGTTCAGGTGAGTGTCTGCAACATGTTCTCTGCCTGCAGTGTGACTGATGTACTGTACAACAGGGCATCTGTAGCATCTGCTCCTTTGAGTAGTTTTATTTCCAGAACAGGAATGTGCATCTGTGGAGAACATTCATGAAACACCATCTGTCCTACTGCTCTGCTGCTCACCCTGCCCAGCCCTTAGGAAAGGGCTGAAATTTGCCTCACTGAGCTGCTTCAGGGCTCTAGATAAAAGATTAGTCTCTGTGAGGTGGGCAGCGCAATGTGACTGCCAAAGTAGAAGGCCAGCAGTAGAATCTACTCTGATTCCAGTTTTGGTATCTGATTTGGGATGGTCAGTTTGCCCAGCGTTCGCTGTAGTTTTGTTCTAAAGAGATCAAAACAAGAAATAACTTTGGATTTTTGCCAAAGGTGGGAGTACTTGAATCCAGCATGTCTGCGGCAGGGGGGTTGGAGTCAAACCTCTTGCCTTGAAGGCAAGCACAAAAGAAAAATGTTGTGGTTGCCCAGTTCCAGCTAATGCTCTTCTAACTGCTGCTTTGACCACCCTGCTAGGTAATGGGTAAAGTGCCAACGATTTCCATCAACAAGACAGACGGTTGCCATGTGTATCTGAGCAAGAACTCCCTAGACTGCGAAATCGTCAGTGCCAAGTCATCAGAGATGAATGTCCTTATTCCCACAGAGGGTGGTGACTTTGTAAGTGTTAAGTTTTGAAATCATTGTGGTCTGGTTGGGGTTGGGGATTCGTATTTTGAGCCCTGCAGGGAATGTCACAGTTACAATGAGGTCTGGAGGGACAATTCTAGCCTCTAGACTTGTAGGTTTTAAATGATGATCAGATGCTAAAACCAGCAAATCAAGTTGTTTGTCTTTACAGTGAGATACTTGCTGGTTTTTGAGTTTCTTCTTCCTCAGGATCTCTTGGGGACAGAACAGGCAGCATTTGTGGTACAGGAGGGGACATGTATCTAAGAAAAGAAATGCCTAAAGCAGTAGGAGTAGTTACTAGTCTTAGTCATAAACTGTTTTTTGACAACAGATTTCTATTTTTACCCTCCAGACTGAATTCCCTGTCCCAGAACAGTTCAAGACAGTGTGGAATGGTCAGAAATTGGTTACCACTGTGACGGAAATTGCTGGCTAAGCAGAAAAGCTCCAAGGCTCATGCCCTCCCCTGGCCCTGCTGTGGGACAAATCTGCTTTCAGATGATTCTCTTAGATTTCTTGTACCTTTCTGCTCTCAAACTGCTTCTCTTCTACCCGAGAGACACAGCTACCTGCCGTCACTGAAATACCTCTGGCTGGGGTTTGGTGTAGGTGGCGGGTCAGTTATCGTCCACATCTATTAGCAGGAAGGTGTAATTTTTTTTTTCCCTCCCCTTGTCCGATCTAACTGCACCAATTGATCAAGTCAGATTTTTGGTGAACTTCACAGCCGGTACTGGCAGTTGGCTTTCAGAGTGTTGTTCGGGTTTTTTTGTATTGCCTTTAAGCAAACTGTTCATGTGAGAGAGGAATGTTGTCCCCTTTTTAACAAGTAATGGTTTATGTCAGGGTCCAGAGTACCCAGTGGCTATGGCAAATGTCTCAAGAAGGTCCTGGAAGCTGCTAATTCCAGCTCTATGTACTAGTTGGTGGCATTACAGGACATGGGAATGGCTTTGTCGGACCAAAGGCTGAGGACCTGGGCCGTAGCATTCCACCCTGATTTCTCTTTCATCATTCCTACTAGCTCAGTGTATTTCTGATTGTGCCATGACAGGAGGCTTTATATTAATCAGTGCCACAGGAAGACTGCAGTGGAGTAACTGCAGTTACCCCCCCGAGAAGTCTGGCTGGTAGCTTGGAGCTGAGCACCTCTTATTCCATAAGCCCTCCACCCTTGCAAGGGAATCTTTGCCCCAGGGCTTCCTTCTCGGAGCAGCTGAACTCAGGTTCAGTCTTCTGGGACAGTTCTTCTGAACCTGTCCCCTTCTGCAGAGGAAGGGTCTCCTTCATTCCAGGGTCAGTAGTGCAGTATTGTAAATACCCAAGTTGGATCAAGTCGGTTCATCACTCTCTTCCTCATCTGCAATCAGTCCCCGTAAAGTGAATCCTCTCAACCTCCCCCTTCCCCTGTTGCTTTGCTCTTTACTTTGGTGGAAGCTTGCAGCCTCTGTTCCAGGGCCCTGGAGCAGAGTGATGGATCTAAGACACAGTACTGTACTGACCCATAAAGGGAGCTGCACGTGCTTTGACCTTCGTTTTTCCAATGCCTCGGGTGGCATAAGCATATCTTAAATGCATTTCCTCTGTAAAGTGTCAATGTTCTTTTTCTCTAGGACAAAACTTACAAAAAAATATGCAATTTTTTTATTTTGAGACTGTCCTGTGACTTGTACTCGTCTTCTCCTGAGGCTTGTGAAAAAACCTTTCTTATGTACTTAAGATTATACAGAAGATAGAATAAAGTTAATGCCAACTTGCTCACTACAATGGCTCTTGTTTACTCTTTGGGGGCACACAGGACCTCAGGTAGGACAAGATGCCCCTTGCTGCCTGACCTTGCCTAGACTGCTTTGAATACTTTCCCCATGGGGAAGTACAGACTTTCCTCAACTCCCCTTGAATCAAATTGTCAGTAGTTGTCAAATCTCACCTCTTTTTTCTTTTTTTAGTTGGTTAGATGTAAAGTTCTTTATTGATTTCAGTTGCTGTACAAAAGTGCATAAAACAAGCCGTTAGCTGAAAACTGTTGAAGCTGTTAATACCTGCTTAATTCAAACCCCTCCTTTTTCCCCAGGTACCCCTAAATTTGGCCCTTTTCCCCATCTTGAAGGATAGGCTGTAATATCTTTCCTCTGCATACAGCCATGTAAGTCTACTTGCTGATCCCTTTAAGAGATGCAGCATTCTTGCACTAGGGATTTCAGTTAATACTGCCATTGCATCCTGCGAGGAACAGGCGTCAGGGAAAACAAACCACTCACGCAGCTAATCATTTTGCTATCGCCAAGCGACTGGCACAGCTACAGCTCTGAGAACCGAAGTTCTGAGAACCAGCGTCTGTGCAGGATGGAGTGCTTCAGAGTTAGTGCAAGGCTCAGTCCACCCATACTGGAGTATAAATCCCCGTCTCTTACTGCAGTGTAACCGGTGCCATCTCTGCACATTGTGGCACTGCTGAGCTAAACCCCCTCTTTTTCCCCTTCCCTGGATCCCCGCAGGCTTGTACACAGAAAGTGCTGTTGCACAGTAGCAGCTGCATTAACTACAGTGGTAGACCCTTCCCCGTGCTCTCACAGGGTGCCTCCCCTTAGCTTCACTGGAGGAAGGGGAGGATCGTGGTGTAAAACCACTCTTCTGAGAAGTGCAGGTGATCCCCTTTCACCCCCAGAAACACCAGCTTTCCTGCTTTGTCCATCTCCTGCAGCCCCAGGCGATCCTGCAGAGAGAAGTATGACCATAGCTTCCTGGGGCCCTGCCACAGCCAAACGCTGGCAATGGCTGGGGAACCCGGCATGGAGAAAAGCACTGATGGTCAGAGACCGTTGTTGCAGCAGAAATGGCTGCAGACTAGAGGGGGTTCCACCGCCTTCCCAAACAGCTACTGGCAAGAGGAGGCAATGCCCCAGGAACAGCAGAGATGGTGAGTAGAGCAGAGCTGTGGGGTTTAGGGCTCCTCAGGGCCCCAGGGACACTACATTCTTTAGAGTAGAAATAGCAGAAACCCCTCAGCCACAGCAGAACGTACCTCTGTGTACAGCGAGGACTCCTTCAGCGGGATGGTCTCCTTGGCTTGGCCGCTTTTGTAAAACCCAAACCACTGTCAGAATAAAAACAAGGAAACAGTTGCTGAAAGGCTCTCAGGAGATAAGTAGGCTTTCACCAGCTTCTGCTGGAGACATGCTGCTGCCGACAGTGCAGTATAAGGCCTATGTTTGTCCTCAGCCTGCCCCTCGCCACCAAAGGACAAGCGAGGAACAAGCAAGCAAGCACCAAACCACCACTCAAAAGCAGCAGCCTGCCTCACCTCAGAGATCGGAGGGTCGACCATAGTATCATTAAGAAATTTCACCATCACAAACTTTTTCAGAGCCATCAGGTTTTTCTTGTACGTCTCATTGATGCCCTGGATGAAAGCAACAAACAGATCCAAGTCACTGGAAAGCCCACTGAGACAGGTTGGGGAAACCGCCTGCTCCAACTTGCCCTGCACCTGCAAAGGAAACCCTGGACTGCACCAGCCTAGGAGGCAGGAACGTGCGTTTCTGTCACCAGCCTCCCTTGGCTGTGCTCATGGCATTCAGCCTCATCTCCAGGCTGTAAAGAGGGGATGGGCCTCCCCTGTCTTCCCGGGGAGGCAGAGGATTTGCCCACTTGAATGGTGATGGGTGGACCGAGCACATGGCGTATCTACACCAACCACTCCACAAGAGTGTGGTGACATAGGAACTGCTCTGCCACGGACAAGTCTCATTCATAAATCTACCAGCGAAAACACTTTGTACACTCCTGGGATGCAGGGCAAAAAATGCTGCCCTTCAAACTCCAACAAAACTGCTGCCAGGGAGAGCTAACATGAAGGAACTCTCTGCTAAGGCTTCTGCTCTCCTGCTAGCATTTAATCACCAGCCAAGTCCTTACCCTCTCCTGATTTATGTCAGCCAAAAAGATGCTGTTTTTCCTGTAGTCCTCCTCCTTCAGAGGGTCATGCCAATACTCTGCTTGTACCAAGCTGGAGAAGAGAGAAACCAAAGGTCAGATCAGAAACCCAGAGCTGCTCATGTGGGTCCGGCCCCTGTCGTTGCAGCCTGATGAAATACTCACTGCTCTTGAACAGCTTGCGTGTAGGCGCCCAGATCCAGGGTCTTTCGGATCCAGTCACAGATATGGGAGCTCTCACCAGGACAGCGTGGAAAGCCGTACACGCCTGTGGTGTGGAAACACGTGTAACAACTTGGTGAGCCAAACTGAAATCCCTTAATCCCTCCGGCTGGTAAAGAACCACCCCCTTACAGAGCAGTAGCAAGAATTACCCAGGGAATCAGACAGCCTTTAATCCTGCAATCTCATTAGACAGCCTTCCTGCCCCGGGCACTACTACATACAAAGATAATGGATGATGTTCTTGAGCTGAGGGTATTGCTCTGGAGAATGGGGGCATGCAGACAAGCGGAATACTGTCCAGCTTGCCTGGTGTGTTCCCGGGAGGTCTCAGGATGGTTCCACTCAAGCCATGGAACTTCTCAGGGGAGACTATTTGAAATTCATTGCCAGCAACTCTTAACTGTACACCTCTTAAATTCCATTTCATACTGCCTCTTTAATCTACTGCAAAAAGCACCTCCTTTTCCTTGGGGCTTTAGCCTTCCGGATGCTTAAAATATCCTTGTGACCCAGAAGGTTTAGATTCACAAAGGCTTTCTCTGTGGTTAGAAATTTCTTCTCCCAAAACAACTAATCACAAGTGCTTCCAAAGTATATAAGAATTCTACCCAGACAGTAAGTTGTCTACTTACAAAGGTCCCTTCTCATTGCCAGTTAAGCAAGAACAAGACAGAAGATAACGTACTCGGCTAACAACTGGGCCAAAGCAGATCACCAGATTCAGACAGGAACAAAGGGACAGTTTAATTCACAAGAAAACAGTCAGTTTTTAGGAAGAGGCCAAAAAAAATCATTCCTCCTGCCAACAAGAGCCCCCCACCCTTCACAGTGGTTAGGAGGTACGATACTTAAGAGGACACTACCTTGGTGCTGCCCCCCAATGGAGATCAAATTGAGCATGGGAGGAGAAGGACACCTCTGGGCCACCGCCCTCCTGCGGAGAAAGATGAAGGAGCTGAGCTGGCACTCAGCATGCCCAGGCCACCAATTCTGGTTCACAGGCAGTGCTCAGCTCGTCACTGCGTGGGCTCGGGCACTTGGGTAACATCTGCAAAGAGAATTAACCCTTCCTGGTAGCGTTGGGCTACAGGCAAACACATTCTTGCCTTTGGAGCGCTCCTACCTTTACAAAGTGCTTTGTCAGTTTACATCTGCTTAGTACTTCAAGAGAGTTTTAAATCAGAACCTAAAACCCAACAAAAATCACAATGAAACAGAAGTGTAAACTTACAGGAACTGGCCTCCTTGGGAGAAGCCCATTGCGTTGTAGCCTCCTTTTAGGTGAGGGTCCTTCGCGAGTTGGCTGCACACCTCTCTCACTTGATCATTCACATTCATAAAGAAGCTGTTCTCCATATCCTGATGGATTAGCCAGATTAGAAAGTACAACTTGTACCTTTACAATGGTTTACGTTATTTTAATATCGATAAACAGATCGCTAACAGTTCTGCTTTTGAAAGAGGACCTAAACCTTCACAATATGACAGAAGTGAAATTCAAGTTTTGAGACTTCCCTTCATCACGTTTTTGTTCCTACTCTGCCTGGCAAAACTGTCTCATACGGAACAGTGACACTTCCCCAAACTTCTTGACAATTTGAGTCCCTTCAGATTTTGTGTGTGTGTGTATATATATAAAAAATAAAAATCTCAAACCTCACTCATCTTTTCCAGATCCCAGAAAATAACATACATTATCCTGAGAGACTATTTAAAGAAATTCTGTAGGGCTACACAAAACTGTCACAAAATATGAAGGTGCAGAATTCTGTATCTTTATTATATTGAAGACATATAGTGAATAAATGGTTGTAAATCAAAAAGGATGGCATGGGATAAAGCTCTGCCTTAAAGAGCACAGTATCTTATTGCATGCCTTTGTATTACCTGGAGTGGTGAGAGTGCTAATCAGTGGATTTGCATATTAATCCAATTTAGACTAGGGATTTGTTTATCCCCAGTTCTTTTCTGCAGGCATTATCTAGACTTTACTGGTTTCTACCTGTCAAAGCTGTTTACTTCACAAAGAAAAAAAACATTAGCAGGGAAAGCACAACATGAATCCTTGTGGAACCAGGTTAATAACAGACTGCAGTAACTATCGCACCTTCAGATCTGCACCACCCTGCCAAGCATAAATGCAAGTGAAGCAGAGTTAGTTACCTGTATCAGGTTGCTTCCAATCTTGAGAGACAGAACATAAATCCCCGGTATTTTATTCTCCACTATTTTCTTAATGTAGCCCATGCTTTGTGGATTGCAGCAACTGTCTCCTGTGAAAGGGAACACGGCGAAGCACCGTCACGCACAGCCGAGGCCCTCACCTCGCCGACTCCACAAGCATGACACCAGAACCCCCCTGCTGCAACGGGAGCGGAGTTGCCAACGCACACACGGGCGCGGGGGAGGAGAGTCAGCACCTCCCAGCCGCTGCAAAACCCGCAGCCTGGAGGAGGGGGCACCGGAGCGGGGCCGGGGGCGGCCTGCGAGCTCCCCTC